GAGGTTGCACGCTGGGTCTGACCCACTCCCCGTGCCTCCACGTTACCCTGTCCTCTCCTGCAGCTCCCCAGCCTGCAATCTGCTCCTGGCCACACAAACCCCACGTTACGGCACGTGCCCAAAGCAAAGCTGCTATAACAAAAGCAGACCCAGCAAACCCACACACGGCTGGGGAGTGCTAGATGGGGCAGGACACCTCAAGCACTTCTGCCCACCAGCATCTCCTGAGGGCCAGGGATCCACGTTCCCACACAGAGACACCTCAGGAGAGGTACAAGCAGTCACTTAACTGGGGACAGATCCAGTCCAGATGCATCCTCAGCCTGGAAAGGAGAGGGCATGGGGTGATCCTGCTGTGAATTGCACATGCAGGAGAGCGGGCAGCATCTCTCCTCCCCGTCTCCCATGGTAAATCCATCCCTGCAAAAGGCTAGGGATGTTAACGAGGCTGTTTCATTAACCAGCCAGGGGCCTGAGCTGGACTCAGAGGCCACCCCAGCGCTGCACAGCCCTCCTGGTGAGTCCTGCCAGCTTGTGAACATCACTCTGAGTTGCAGGAGGCAGGATGGACCGGCCTGGGCAGGCTCACGGGTCTCTGGTGACACAGCATCCTTCCTGCAGCGTGGGGCTCCTCAGCCTGGCTGAGGTGGCTCCTGCTTCCCAGCCTGCATCCAAGGATACGGGTGTCTGGTGACACACAGCATCCTTCCTGCAGCATGGGGCTCCTCAGCCTGGCTGAGATGGCTCCTGCTTCCCAGCCTGCATCCAAGGAGGGCTCTGCTGATAGGAGAAACACGGGGGACACCCACAGCAAGGGTTTGGGCTGCTCGCCCCAGCCCTTGACCTCCAAAGAGGCAACACAGCTCCACCTCACCAGGCTGTCCCCTCCAGCACAAGGCTGGCCTCACTGGCAGGAGCAGCTCTGCCCTGCCCACAGCCCGGACAAAATGGATTGGGACAGAGATAAAGCAGAACAAAACTTGGAAGAATTAGAGGAATAATCACAGAGCTCCTCAGCTTTAACAGCTAACCAGAATTAGTTACTACCTTATGGGAATTTTCTTAGCTCTGCTCCCTTTTCTCTAGGCTTCTCGCTTTTTTGCTGTGAAGTGCCTAAGCAGAAGTATTACCAGCTTTCATGGCAAAAACTTATTTTAAATCATTTTATTTTACCAGCCAGAAAAAAGGGGAAAGCACGAACCAAAAGTCTGCAGAAAATACTTTTTTCTCTCAATATTTTTGCTCACCATTAAAAAAGCCTTCTTTCACCATTTTCACAAGGGTCTTTCAACTGATCCCAATCAGTAGGGTTGGTGGGGGTTTTTTACCATTACCTTGACAGAAACTCTTCTTTAGAAGCTTAGTTAAAGACATCGCTGCTGAGCTGTAGCTGCTCCTCTCCCTCTGCCTTGGCCGGTGGGTGTGGGACAGCCCATCCTGGCTGGTACCTGCTCTCCATCTCCTCTGCTGCCGCCATGGGGCAGCCACCTCCCAGGCAGCTGGGGCTGCAGGCCAGCTGAGACCATTTAGCACCTCCAGAAGGTTGGTCCTTGGCCAAAGCCCTGTGTTGGATGCCTCAGAGGGAGCAGGCAGAGGGCAAGGAGGGGACACAGCGAAGTTCCCTGGTCCCGTGGCCCCTGGCTGCCCCGAACCCCTCCCCAGCGGGGCTGGGGGCCGCTGACCATTTCTCTGCTGGTTATTAGATTGTTCACGGCTCTCAGGTTTGTTTGAATAAGCCCTTTTGTTCCCCGGCGCTTTCCCACGTCCCTCCGTTCGCTTGGCAGTCGCGTGTCCCGAGTCAAAGAGGAGCCCTGGCCGACAATCCCCAAAGAAAGTTTTCTTCGGAGCAAGACATCTGCGTCGGAGGGAACCTGCCAACATCTGCCACACTTTCCTCCTTTTCAAGAGCCTTTCTTTCCCTCTTAAAAAGTGCGGGAACAGATGTTAAAAGTTGTTTTCTTTCTCCAGGCTGTGAAATGTAGACAAATAGCAAAAAAGAAAACTCCAAGCAGCACTGACCCTTTTCTCTTTCCTTTTTTTTTTTTTTTTTTTTGGAAAGCCCAGGAAAAAAAGGGAGGCTTTGTTTATGAATGAGAATCCCCTTTTCAGTGAAACCTGGCAGTGGGCAATGCAAAAGGAAAGCGGGAATTTGCAGAAAGCTCCCTTTAATGCTCATTTGCATTGGCCTGTTGGGTCCCTACAATCCCCAGCACAGATGTCAGCCTTCCTCAAAGCCAGGGCAGCTCTCCCGCCAACACCCCCCATCCTACCCCCCCCGGCCTCCAAAATAAAGGCCTTTGCCCTGACTGAGAAGTGTAAAATAACTGTTTACAGCAAAAGCTGCTCTTCTTTTTCACGGCGGTGCTGTCTTACAAATGAACCTTGAAATGAGCTCACCCAGAGCAGACGCCAGCGGGCAAGCCAAGGGTCTTACCCCCCCCCCCCAACCGAGGCTGGGGGCTCAGCTGCCCTGTATGGGCTGGGCACGGGCCCTGGCTGGGGACGGGGGGCCACCACACTGTTCTTGGCCCCCCATCACACCCAGCTGTCCTCAGAACCCACCGCTTCCCCACCAGCACCTCCCCGCCTGCTTGCCCCATAGAAGCCACTTCGCTGGGAAAGCCTGAGCGTGACCCTCTTGCAAGGGCATCCCCCTCAGCCCAGACCTTTGTGGCACCTCACAGGGTGAGGAAAGCAGGAGGGAGGGTTCAGCAGGAGCAGCAAGTCCAGGCCAAGGAGAGAAGGGAGGATGAGGAAGGAGGTGCCACCACCACAGAGGCCAGAGAGACCTTTCCTGGTGGTGCTGGGGCTGGGCAGCCCCTGGGCCACTAACATGGAGGGGCACACACAGCACCCTACAGCCTTGCCCAGCCAGGGAGGGATGCCAACAGGCACAGGAGGTGTTTTTCAGGGCTTTTAAGCAATTCTGCATTTTCTGACACCTCTGCCATGCTCCGTTGGTCCAGGAGCCAAGATGGTCTCAGGCTTGCCCCTGCTGCCCTGCCTGCCTGCCTTGGGAAGGTGCCTCTTCCTGCACAAGGTGCTGGTGGAGGGGTGCTTGGGGGGCACAACAGTGGACTTCTCCTCTTCCCCACCCACTAGAAGCCATGTTCCCAGGTGATGGGCAGGCACTTCCAGCCTCCAGCACCAGCAAACTGCCCAGGTCCAGGGGTGCACCCTCTCCGTGCCCCCCTACCCCTGCCCCAGCCCACCCCCTGTCTCCTCCACGCCGAGCTGCTGGAGTTGTGCAGAGGTACAGACGCCTTCTATAAATACCAGCAACACTCCCCCTCCCCGGGTGGGCTGGAAGAAGCTTGAAAAACCAAAGGAGCCTTCACTTGTGCTCAGCAAGGGTTGGCTGACCTGAGGAGCTCCTGCGTGGAGTGGTGGGACCTCCTTCAGCTGCCTGGGCAGGGGATGCACCTGAGATGAGGAGCCCATCCCGTCTCCCTGGCACAAAGGACAAGTTGTCAACCTTCCCCTCCCAAACCCTCCTCTCCCAGTGCAAGAACCACACCAGCCCGTCTCGGGCCCGTGCCAAGTAGGGCGCTTATAAAACCAGGTAACTGCACCCCAGCCCTGCGTTTGACTGACAAAACCACCTCTGCCTGCAAGATCCCACCTCTGGGGACACCATTTCATGGGGAGCCTGGGCAGCAGAGCGTAGGGACATGCTGCAAGCACGTTTGCGTTTACACGCAGGCAAACACCCACCCACCCACGCGGCGTTTAAGCACGGGACGTGATGTCCTGGCTTTTATCTCTGGGGTACATCCCCACCCACGGCTGGAGGGGGGGAGAGAGGGCTCTGGGGCCGCCGGGCTGGGAAATCCCACCGGCAGATGGGGAGGGCTCGCGGCGCTTCTGAACCGCTGCGGCCCCTTCCTCTCCATTTCAATAAGGTGACACATTCGACACCAGCCCAAAGGGCTTCACCTGCGGGACTCAACAGGACACTGCCAAATCCTGCTCATTAGCAAAGCAACCGTCAGAAAGCAAAAGCAGGGTCATGAAAAACGCCTTCATACTGCTCCCCCACCCCCCCACCCCAAGACCAAGCAGAAGTGAGGAAGCATAAAAGTGCATTCTCACCCTGGGCCAAGACTCCTCCAAAGGCCCGTCTGCTCCTGCACTAGCATTTCAGAGGAGCCAACAGAAAAACACCCTTCCCCCCAAAGCCACCCAACCCTCCTCGCAGCACAGGGGGCAAAAAAAAAAAAATCAAAGAAGTAAAAGTCCTACAGAACTAACTCACCTCTAGGTTCGTTTACATCTGCAATGGCCTGTAAGTTTAATATTAAATTCTACATATCAGCCAAAAAACTAGAAGAGTTGCATATTTCCTATACCCATTTGTGTACAACAGAGAATTTGGGTTTCTAGGAGGTAAATAAAGTTCCCATGTTGTTTTCCCTAGAGGATTTCTGCGATGGAAACAATGCTCCTACAGGCGTCTGCTGTCAACAGTTTTTAATCAATCATCATCACCTTGTAATAATTCCTTGGAGCAGGAACTCCTAGCTCAAGTAGGCTATTATTAAATGAAGGGGCTGCTCCAAAGATGTAAGATGGCTGGGGCTTGGGTTAGCAGGTAAAAAGAGGAGATAGAGGGGGGAAAAAAAAGATGGGTAGAAGGCATTTTCCCAGGTGTAACTCAAGCGCTTCCCGGCTATTGTTTCCCTCCCTGGGAATCTGTGCAAATTGAGCGAGGAGCCGTGCAAGCTGCTCAGAGCGCGCCCATTTTCCTTTCCCTTCTTCCCTAACAAAAGATCCCTCCAAAGCCCGGCGTCGGAGGCTGGACATCTGTCGCCGTTTGGGGGGGCCGGCGTGGTCATTGAAAAGAAGCAGTGACCTGTCAGCTTTGATTGATGGCCACAAACCTCCGGGCTCGACCCCTCGTGTGGGAAAAGAAGTCCCGCCAAGGAAAGTCCCCTTTCACATGCTAATTGTGGGTTATAAATACAGCAGAGGAGCCAGCCGAGCAGCAAAGAGCCCGTGGGGAAGGGGAGCGACCCGCTGCCCAACAGCATCCTTCCCATCCCGTCCTCCCGGTGCCCGGGGCGGGCAGCCTGGATTACAATGACCGCCGCAGCCACCCACAAACTCACCAGCACCAAGGAGGAGAGGAAGGTAGGTCCCCTCCGTGTCGCTGCACCCACAAGTGCCCGAGGGCTGCCCCACGCGTGGCACGTGAGCTGTGAGTGCCAGGGATACGGGCACTGCTGTGAGGATAGAGAAAGGGGACAATTATATTTTTTTTGCTCTTATTATAAAGATGCTTTCTCTGAATTTTGGCCAGGTGGGTGTTTTTTCTGCTTCCTTTCTCTGCCTTAGAAAGGCTTCTCTCTGTTTCATTTGGGTAAACTCTGCTTGAAATGAGTGGGAGAACGGAGAGCTGATTACCACCTAAGGGACAGGCCGTGACCAGAGCTGGAGATGGTGCACTCTCCATCCAAATCTTGTCCCTGCCAAGCATCCCATCACCTGGCGCTAGCTTCACGCAGGGGATGGGGCTCTCTGCCCTCGCTGAACTGCAGCAGGGAGAGGAACTAAAAATACCAACTGCAATTTTTCCTCCTCTTTTTCTTTTCTCTGCCAGTTAAGGAAACCCCTCATTGAGCGGAAGCGAAGGGAAAGGATTAATAACTGCTTGGACCAGCTGAAGGAGACTGTTGTGGGTGCGTTTCATCTGGATGTAAGTGTTAATTTTTATGCTGCTTTCTGTCCTTTTGCTAGTGGGGCCCTGTTTTTTTGCAGATGTGTGTCTCTGTTGAGAAACAGGGCACAAACCCATTGCCTCTAACCACTGCCCTCTCTCCTTATCAGCAGTCTAAACTGGAGAAAGCAGACATCCTCGAAATGACGGTGAAGCACCTCCAGAACATCCAGAGCAGCAAGCTGCTGGGTGAGTGCCTGGTCGGGGCAGGAGGGTGCCAGCAGGTTTAATCCCCTGGCAGCTTGGCAAAAGCATCTTTCAAACCTGTGGAGGCCCGGGCTGCTGCTCGGGTTTGGCTTTCTCCACTAGATGGGGAGATGGAGCTGGGCACTGATGAACCCGAGGAAGGGTTTGGTTTTTTTTTAACTTCCAGAGCCGTTTTCTGCTCTTTGGTCTAGTTTTGCCCTTGGCGGTGGGCAGCAGGAGGCAGGGGCTGCCTGCCTGGGAGGCTCATGCCCTGCATCACCTTCCCCCTGCGCCCTGCAGGAGATTCATAGAATTGTCTAGGTTGGAAAAGACCTTTAAGAGCATTGAGTTAACCTAGCGCTGCCAAAACCACCCCGAAACCAAGTCCCTCAGCATCACGTCTACCTGTCTTTTAAATACCTCCAGGGAAGGTGCTTCAACCACTTCCCTGGTTGGATTCAGGTTATAGTAAAGCCCAGTCTGCCCACAGTCAGCCCAGTCAACGAGCCCCCCAGGAACCCCCACGCAGGGGAGCCTGGTGAATGTGAAAAGCAGGAACACGCCAGGCAGCTCACCAACACCCCTTGTCTCCTCTCCAACGCAGCTGACTCCAAAGTGGGTCTGGAAGCCCAGCAGAGGTACAGCACCGGGTACATCCAGTGCATGCACGAGGTGCACAACCTCCTCCTCACCTGCGAGTGGATGGACAAGACCCTCGGGGCGCGCCTGCTAAACCACCTGCTCAAATCCTTACCCAGGTCTGGAGAAGACACCTGCAAAGCGGCACTGAGGTCTTCAAGCCCATCTCAGCCACCTCTCTTGACGCCAAAAAGCCCCCTGAGCCAGAAGGGCAGCACTCGGGGCACAAACCCGTCACAGGAGCGTTTCTACCCTGCGGAGAATAAGCAGGTTTCAAAAAATTCCTTCCAGCTGCCGTCGCTGTCGGTTTTCAGCCAGGTTGATGCTGCGCCTCCCAGACAGGTCCTGCAGCCAAATTTTTCCCATAACAGCCCTAGAATGGGGTCATTAGATATGTGGAGACCGTGGTAACCTGTGTTTTATAATGTTTACCCTAACCTTAGACACTCTTACGTATGTATCTTATAGATATGTTTCTTTAAAACACTTGTGGAGCAAGTCTGCTCCTGTAGGTGTACTAAAGACCAGGGTACTTCAGGCCGAAGTAAACCTATGTGTAGCCTGCATTGTAGAAGGCTGCTATTATTTTTTATTTATTTAATACATCTAAATTATTGTATAGACTCCTCTCATGCCCTTTAGTGTATATTAACTATATAGCTTTCTTGTTTTACATTCTTAAAATAATTAACTCCCTATTAATAAAAATACAAGACAACGAGCTACGACCCTCTCTGGCATCAAGCTTACCTCTCAGATCTCACCTAAGTCACTGAGATCACTTCTTTGGATAAAGGGGTAAACCGCCGATCTCTTCTGCTTTTTATTTTTATTATTATCCCTGTGCAGCTGTAGGAGATTCTGGTTCTCATTCCTGTAAAAATGCTGTGGTGGTTAGAAAAAAAAAAGAAAAAAAAAAAAGAAAAAAAAAAAAGAAAAAAAAAAAAGAAAAAAAAAAAAGAAGAGAAAAAGAGAGAGACTTGTTTTGGACTTTTTAGGCTGTTTAGAAATGCTCTCTGGATTGCTTCCTCTGGCTGTGCTGCTCCAGCCACATGGACATCCTGACATGACTCTCAAACCAGTGAGCTACATGTATATAAGTATGTTACATATAGTTATATTTAGGGATTTTTTCTGTTTATTTGTTTGCTTCCTTGTAACTACAAGTTCTAAATAAACGTTTGGAAGATAACAACTGATATTTCTCCCAGCCTTGTCCTGTCTGCTCTGAATAAACAGTGACCGGGGATGTGCTTTTGTTTTCTTCTTTCACAAATATTTTTTCCTAAACAGGGTTGAAAGCGATGGTTTGGGTTTTGTAGAAAAAGCAGCATGCACTACACACACACAAACACACATACACAGACAGGATCACCTAGATCACAGTAACACTTAAAAAATTATGAAGAAAATCAGGAGCTGGGTTTATCAGCTTGGATCAATGCTTTAGCTTTTACTTATAAAGGAATTGCAAAGAGAATCTAAAGGGCAGAAGGTAAAACTCCCTGCAAATTGGACCGGGGAGACAGGGACAAACCTGCTCAGCTTGTTGACAACATTTGGTCCCAGTTTTTCATCTCAAAGGCAGTTAAAAGTTCTTCACAGTTAAAATAAAAGAGCAAGGAGCTCTTAAACAAACACCGCGCATACTAATTAATAGACCCGCAGTTCAGAGGGGCTCATTATGCAGCGAGATCTATTTGATGATGTGCCGAAGGAGTGAAAACCATCACCTCTGGGTTTAGCATCTTTTTCTGTGAAGCTCTCCCTTTCATCCAGCCCTCTTGAAAAGCCATTAGGAGCAGCGGCATAAAGGCGGTAGGAGAAACAACTGGCCTACACATGGCTCATGGAGGCGAGGCAGGTTTCCTCAGGCCTGGGGTCAGAAGGCAGGTAAAGACACGGAATTGTACAGGTCTTACCACAACATCCATTTCCACCCTCTGCCTGAAAATTAAGACATCCCCTTTCACTGACAGGAACCTCTGGAGTGACCACCAACGCAGAAGACACATCCAAATCATCCCATCACAAACATCCAGATGAGGGTGGGAGCTGGGGCCAGCCCGAGCACACAGAACACTCACAGGCAGGGAAAGCATTCAGGCAAAGCAAACTGCAAAATCCTGGGAGAGGAAAGGCATTGAAGACCTTCCCAGTTTATCACCACATATATTTCTGAGTTTAGATAAAGCCCCCATGCCACACAAGCCCGCATCACTGCACCCACCAGAGGAACCTCCGCTGCCCAGCAGTGGGGTCTGTACCGCAGCAGGGTAAGCAAGAGGAGCAGATGGAGTCTCAAGTTTTCCTGTACTTCTAGATGGTGTCAGTAATGCATCTCACAGCACTTGTGGCCACCTTATTGTTGTGCTGGGAGAGGCTGCAATGAAAATATTTTGCTACGGTTTGACAGCATCAACTTAAAAACATACTTTCCCCCTAAAAGCTGTAAATCCCCAGTGACTATAATTATCAGCTATGGTTACCGTGCTGAAAAGAGATCAGTGGGAAATCTGTATTTCTCACCATTTCTGCTTGTTTACTTTGTGCATTTGAAAATGCTTTGTGGTTAGTGAGTTGTATTATTTCCTGTTTCTGATCAGTAAGGCTTTTTTCTGTTGTGGGTGTGGAGGGAAGGGTCACATCGCAGCTGGTGAGAGAGTTTTAAAAATAGAAAAGTGAGACTGCGATACTCGGCCAACAATCTCCAGGAACAGTTTTAGTACAAGACACTAATTTTTCACTGCCTTTGCTTCAAACCGATGGTGACATTTTATATGATCTCCCTGTCACGTATCCAAATAATGCTGCAGGAATCCACTGCGAGTCACTAGTTTTCGGTAAAGAAAACATTTCTTCAGAAAGGCAAAAGGTTATTCATAGCACTTCATATACACAAATTGCAGCTATTACATGCGTTTGACAAAGGAACTCTGTATTTACTTCAAAACCACCCGGTTTTACCAAAACCAGGACGGGACAAGAGCAATAATACTTTGCTCTTCAGTATAGGCACCTTTCCCTGAAAACCAAAAAACACATTGCCAGCTACGGCCATCTTCTCCCCAGGAAACAGGAGGCACAGAGAAGCTCCCCCAGCCAGGAGACAGCAGTGTCCTGGTGAATGGGTGTTGGAAGCTGGACAGTCACACACGCTCTGGGCACAGCAGCAGGATCCACAGGGATGCTATCTTCACATCTGCAGCCTGTGCCTCTCTTGGCTGCCGGGGGTGCCACAGCGCAGCCCAGGGCTCGGTCCCCCAGCACCTCCAAGACTGCTCCACCGTTCCCACCTGGGACCCCCTGCCCAAGGCACTGGGGGGTTTGGAGGCGCAGGCGGTGGGGATGCTGCACACCCAGCTCTTCCCCTGACACAAAGGCTGGAAACGGCCAAGACAAACACCCCAACCAGATTCCTCGGTTTGGGCATGGCCAGACAGACCTGTTTGCTAGAAGCGGTCACAAGACACATCACATCTCACCCCGCACACGCCGTGCTGGGACAGCCCGCTGCAGATCTGGGCTTTGTCCCCTGCCAAAGCACTGTTCCAGGCACGTAGTTGTGAACAGAGCACTAAAAAGCAGAGGCAGAAGCACGTACCCCCACCAGGTGTGGGGGTGTAGGGAAGGCTGGACCTGAGGCTCAGGACCCCCGCATGCCTTAAATGCAAAGCAATTATAGAATTATATCATAATGAAAGCCCAGGTGGACAAAATACCCACGTGCATAGCAGCTCCCTTTATGTAAACACACTCCTAGGCCAGCTCTCGTGGAAACCAACAGGAGAACTCCCTCCTACCTCTCAGAAAACAAGACCAAATCCTTTCCCATTAGGAAAGCACAGAGGCTCATGAGTATGTAAGAGAACTTATGGCCCTGCCATGTTGTCTTCTCCCAAACACACACAACCCTCGGGGCCTCCAAGTATCCCTGCCTTTTCCCTCACTCCTCCTCCCACCCCAAGGGCACTGGAGCAACCTCTTCCTGACCCACACAGTACCATTCACCCAGAGCAATCAGGCCAAAATGCTTTAGGAGAGGTGCTGACCCCCTGAGGATCATTACCCAAGAGGGCTGAGCACACTGCTTAAAAAGGGAAAAAGAGCCAAATTTCCAGCTGACGTCTTCATTGAGTGCTCCCTTTGGCAAAGAGGAGACTCCAGTCTGACCTCTCCAGGAGCTGTGGAGGGGCTCCTGGTCCTCCACACTCACAAGCAAGCCACCTTGCAAAACCCCACACAAAAGCAATTCTGGGGCAAAACGTTTTCAAATTGATTCAAACCACACTGCCATGGCTGTGGGTGCTTGGAGCTCGCTAGCAAAGTGCTCCTTTTGGGAGGGGAGTGAAAACAAACCCACCCACAGCAGAACACCACAGACTCCACTTACCCTTTATTATATGCCATTATCCCACAGCTTCCAGTGTAAACATTTCTGTCTTAACAGGGACACACTCATATTTCATCTCATGAGAAGTAATGTTGTGTGTTGAGAACCTAACCCGAAGTCTGTCGCATTTTTCAGAGCTTTCACATACTCATGAATAACGCAGCAGAAGCTGCAGCCAGCCCTGGATCTGATCTGCACTGCTGAGATGTTTCATGTATAAATTGCAGCCCTGGTGAGAATGTGGCTTGCTGCCTGGGGCATCACCACAGACCTACCAGAGCCTGGGAACTCACTCTGCTTCTGAGACTCTCCTATGGTCACCCCATTAGGCGACACAAATCCTACTGCACATTTGGAGTTGAAAAGCATGTTAGAGCATTTTCATCAAGTTTTCTATGGCTAACACCACCAAGCAAATGGAGTTCTTCAATCAATCCCACATCTGCTGCCACGGAGAGTTCTGGTCCTCTAGCAAAAGCTCAAAGGGGCTCCTCTTTGGGGCTGGAGGACTGTCCCTGCTGCTCTGCCAAACAGCAGATGCCCACGAGGAGAGCTGGGAACGATGCCTCCTCTCCAGGGTCTTCTTCCCGAGGAGGCCAGGGGAAACAGCAGGGCAGAAACTTTGTGGCTGTGGGAAAGCTGTTCAGCAGAGAGTGGGGTAAGAGGAAGAATGGAGAAACCACTGCTGAGCTATCCCTTCCTTCACTAGGAGCTTCCCAAAATCCTCTCCTCTCTCCATCTGCCCCTGCCCAGCACTCCTTGTCCTGGAGCACGCTCATGCAGCAAAGTCTCCTGAAGGATGACTTCTCACTGAAATTGGCATAACACTGCAACCTGGTTTTAAACCCACAGCCCTGAAACGTTTTCTGCATAACAGGCCTACATAGTTCAGCTGTAAATTTATGTGCAGAGAGGAGGAACCCAGTGGCTGGTCTCACTGCCCCACCAGAAAGGCTGTCCTGTGCCGTGAGGAGCTGGTTTACCACCTTTCACAGCCGTCTAACGAAGCGCTCACCTCTTCACTTTTATCTTCTGTTGACACGGACATTCACGACAGCTCTGGCAGGCTCCTGGCACGCCGTGGGTATTTAAAAGCACGGGGATCAGGCACTGTGTGAAACAGGGCTTTGCAGAAACCACACGGGCAATGCCACGGTCCCAGAGCGGCAGCCGCTTCCCCCTCCGCTGGGACCCCACGCGCTCTCCCATCCCGGCCACCCGCAGCTGGGCTTTGCACAGCATCCTAACGGGATTATCCGGGGACCCCGCCAGCCCCTGAGCCACCTGTCACAGCCCCGTACCCCCGAGACAGCACACTGCTGCACCCCCATATCTAGCTGGGATGTTGGTGTTTTCCAGTGCTCACCAGGAGATACATTCCCATAGGGAATGAGGGGCTTGTACCATTCTGGGCCAGGAATGTCATTTTCGGTGGCTGCTGAAGAGAATGAAGCAAACTCTGCTGGAATCACCTTCCTGCCCCTCTACGGTAAAAATGTTTTTCAGTTAAAAAA